TTCTCATATTTGTGATTTTATCTCATAATTGATACTTTGTTTCATATTATTTGCGTTTTATCTCACATTGCAATTTTGTTTCTTGTAATTGAAAAATGTAATCTCTCACTGGTTTTACAGTGTATCTCACCATGTGATTATATTTTGTAATTGCGTCTTTGTTTCTCAGATTTGTGTTTTTATCTCACAGTTGAGACTTTTTATCATTCAGTGTTACTTTATCTCTCGCATTGTGACATTGTTTTTCATTTTTATCTCACAGTTGAACTTTTCGCTCAGTGTGACTTCATACCTCACAATGTAACTTTATATTTCACAATTGTGATGTTGTTTCTAACTTTGGCATTTTTTATATCACGATTGAGACTTTATTTCTCGTAATTGAGAATTTTTATCTCATTGTGTGGCTCTCTCTGAATGTGACTTTATATTTTGCAAATGTTTTTGCAAAATGATCTACTTTGTTTCTCATATTTGTTTCTTGTGAGAATTATCTCTCAGTTTGACTTTATATTCCACAATTGTGACTTTGTTTCTCATAATTGCATTTTTATATCTCACAATTGAGACTTTTTATCTCGCAGTGTGGCTTTATACAGTATCTCAAAATGTGATTATGTTTTGCAATTGCTACTTTTTTTCTCGTATTTGCATTTTTATATCTAATTTTGTGACTTTATTTCTTGTAACTGAGTCTTGATCTCTCAGTGCGGCTTTATATCTCTAAATGTGACTATTTTGCTATTGCGCCTTTGTTTCTCATATTTGTGATTTTATCTCATAATTGATACTTTGTTTCTCATTATTTGCTTTTTATATCTCACATTGCAATTGTGTTTCTTGTAATTAAGAATTTATATCTCTCACTGATTTTACAGTGTATCTCACCATGTGACTGTATTTCACAATTGCAGCTTTGTTTCTCAGATTTGTTTTTATCTCATAGTTGAGACTTTTTATCGCTCAGTATGACTTTATCTCTCGCAATGTGACTTGGTTTCTCATTTTATCTCACAGTTGAACCTTTCACTCAGTGTGACGTTATATCTCACAATGCAACTTTATATTTCACAATTGTGACTTTAAATTTTGCAAATGTTATTGCAAAATTGTTATACTTTGTTTCTTGTGAAAATTGTTATCTCTGTTTGACTTTATATTCCACAATTGTGACTGTTTCTCATAGCTGCATATTTTATATCTCACAATTAAGACTTTTTTTTTTTAATCTCGCAGTGTGGCCTTATATCTGTTATGTGAGACTTTGTTTCTCATATTTGTGACTTTATACTATATATCACAATGTGTTGTCACTATATCTCAGATTTTCCATTGGGGCCTAATATCACTCATTGCGATTATATCTTGCAACATGACTTTATACTTCACAACTGCACCTTTTTATTTCTCATAATTAGGAATTTATATCTCACAATGTGAGCATATCTTGTAAAGTCATTTTATACATTGTAATTTGTGACTATTTCTTCCAACTGCAACCTTTTTTTTGAACCTTTTCTCACAATTCCTTTTTTATTTTTCACTCAGAGGTAGAAACAGGTTTCTATAGATTACCACAAGAAATATTATTCAAAATAAACATGCTCTGGTGAGTTACATAACACTTTAATGGAGTATAAGCTATCAAGTACCTTGCATATCAATGCACGAGGATGTGGTTTGTTGTCTGTTTTCGAGCACTTTAGAGACTTGATCTGTTAATCTCAGTGATAAAGATGTCACTGTCACTGACAAAGCCTTTTTAAACATCTCTTTATACAATCACTGCATTAAACCCGACAAGCTCTCAGTGCAAATTTGCCTGCGATCAATGGCCGTGAAAGCACATACATCCTGACTAACAAGGAAATATCTACCTTAGAAGCACTATGAGTTGCATACATCTTAAGAGCGAGTTCCGGTCCAGGTGTCTGATTGGTCAATACAGCGATTCAGTCGTGATCAAATCTACGATATAGTCACACCTGCAATGAGAGACACCTCATCATATCACTGCATGGCACCTGTGGAGTATTGTTTGTTCAGCTCAATCTCACAGGAAAATATAACTATTTAATGAGGTGTGGTGATTTTGAATGAATTCTTAAGATGTGTGTACGAAAATGCACAATTGTTAGTATGAAAATACACATGAAAGTCCATCCCTAAATATAACTGTCACTGGAGTGTAAGCAGATCAAATAAAATCAATGAGATGGTACATATTCATACACCACCATACATATATATGACAAATAATGTCATTAAGCATAACATTTACTTTCCATATCCATATACATAAAAAAACAACAAATCTTCAGTTAAGAATTTTAAGCCAAACCAACCAGCTTCAAGAGACAAATCCCAGTTGATTCAAAGCAAGAACAAAATTGCTGTAACTAAATCAACAATAATGGTACAATATAAAACTATACTTGACTAGTGTATCGTAAAGGGACTCGATTATGTCATATGGGTGGTTAATTTTTCAGCTTGTTTCCATGGTAAAAGCAAGCTAAAATGCTAATAAAAATGCTAAAAAGAAAAAAAAAAATTTTTTTAAATGAATGCAATTTTACTTTTGAAAACGGTTTGGTTCCAGAAGAGCAAAGAACAAGCACAGTCTTTCTTTCAGCAGTGCTTTATTTCAGTTTAGTATGGCTTTCACCCACAAATGGCACAGTGTTTAACCCTCTGGGGTCCGAGGGTGGTTTGGGGCCCTGGAGAAGTTTTGACATGCCCTATGCTACCAACTACTGTACATCTATGAGAGCATCAAATTCACTGAGGGCAAATTTTGATTTCTTCAAACCAGAACCACAAAACAAGAAGATGTCCAATGACACCTTGAGGAGAGCAGCTTTAAGATTACAATAATAATTTTCATAAATTTTCAAACAGACTTACTTCTGGATCTCGATCAGGGCTACAAAAAGCTGTTGTCATTGAAGAGAAAAAAAAGAAAATATATTATAAAAGATGTTTACATGCATGTCGGGCAGTGAGTTAGCACATTCTCTGAGCTACACGACTGTCTGAAAATGAATTCATATTTATTATTAGCACAAGCTATATTATCTCAGATTGTATATTATAAATGAATACAAAAAAAAAATCTAATTTAGTCAAATTAATATTCATCAAAACCTGGTTATGACTGAAAAGTTTTAAAGGCACCAAAATAACAGCCTGTCAGAAAAAATATAACTTCGATTTTATGACTTTGCACAGAGTTCATGTATTAAAAACTATATAATTCAAGAGCTTAGCACTGAACTGACATGTAATCAATACGTCGTTCTCAAACAATTTTTTTATTTGTTTGAACTTGAATTGATGAATTAATACTTGGTGCACATACATATTTATACAGAACTTAAATCACTGACACAGAATGTCAAAAAGTGCTTGTGTCAAATTAAATAGCAGACAAATCAAACTTATGTAAAGTAATTATATTTACTTTTCACAATTACAGTATTATAAATACAGTGCTGACCACAATCCAAGTGATTATTTACTTTAACATTATTCACAGTTGAATAGCAATTTCAGTAGTAATTAAGATCTGGCAATGATCTAACCATTTGAATGAAGTTTTGTTTGAATTTTAACATAACAGGGTTTGACAATCAGACTTTAGCTCAGTTGGGCAGTGGGATATTGAGAAACTAATTCTTGATAATCAATAATCTGTGAACAATGAGAGAAAAAATGACTCGAACAGAAATGGGATAGAAGGTATTCATAACATCTTGTACTCAATTCTCGGGAAAACGTGGGCTTTCTAAAGGATGATGGCAAACACGCTGTGAATGGAGGTAGGTTGAGTCACAGAAGTGTGCTGGGTTTCCATCTGGCGATGAATCGCTGATTGTGTTTCAGTAGCAGTAATCGATTTCCTCGTTGGCCAGAACAATAGCGGTTCTGCAGGGAATGTAAACCTGAGAGAGTGGAACAGCCAAAGACAGAAAGAGATCAAAGGGACTCGGCATTTGTTTGAGGCAGTGTAGCACATTTTGAAACAATGCATAACATGAAAAAGTGTAAATGTCTAAAGTACTGTGGAATGTGAAAAAAATTTCAAGTGAAAGTTAGACCACAGTTATTATTTTTCATATTCATGGATTCACACAAATGTGCAGAATGGCTGTAAATAAATAAATAATACAAAAAGTACATGGAGACGGAATGTGCAATTTATGTGATTGAATTCATTATCATTAATTCAATAAATATATTATTAATAAAAAATTAAAGCAGAAAGAACAAAATGAGAAAGAGTAAACACTATTTTTAATATCACCAAAGTCACTACAATTGAGCTGTACATTAAAATTAAGAATAAGAGTTTTTTATTTTCTGAGCAATCTGAATGGCTACAGACTAAAATGCTGCTCTCGTGTCAGCATACAGCAGATATATGTTAAAGCAATAAGCCCCAAGAAGCCGTGGTTTACAGTGAATTTATAACAGCTAAGGGGCGTTGTTAGCTGTTATAAATTAACTGTAAACCACGGCTTCACGGTGCTTATTGCTTTTATAAAACGGTTATTCCATATACGTAGTACGGTTTCACAAAATAAAACAGAGCAAATAAAGTGTAATGATATTAATAAAAACAGTATTCTTCCACCAAACAATGTAGTTCCTCAGAATCAGTTGTGGTTGCAACAAAGTGGTTGCCAAGCAACAGACAAACGTAAACAAAGGTGTATGTTTGTAGAGTAATTTACAACAGCTTCGATCGTGGCTCAGCCAATCAGAATCAAGGACTGGAACTATCCGTTTTATAAGAAACATTTAAATGCATTAAATGATTTTGACAACACTGAATGGGGGGTAATGACAGAGTCCAATAAAAACTAAATGAAAAATCCCTTAAAAGTCTAGTTGGAAATTTGCAAAGTTTTTAGAAATGTAATCTTTGTATTCATGTTGGTTTCTTATGGTTTTTCATTAAATTATACATTAAACATGGTGTAACCTAGTGAAAAAGTGATATTTTCCTTTATATGAATACATGGAAGTGTGCACATACTAATAATTATTTTAAAAATGTTTTTAATTTGTGTTCACGTTTTTTATTTGCTTTTTTTGTACAAAAATCACAAATTATTAATACCATGTTATCATTTTTTTTTTCATAAAAAAGATTTTATTAAGAAATTATCAAATTACACCTTGATACAGTCATAATGGTCTCCAGTGGTCCTCTCTATGATATAATTTCATTTTTTATTTTTTCTGCATGCACTTTTTGCATACTGGTTGCGCATAACTTTAATTTGGAGGACAAACATTTTAGAAAAATTTAATAATATTTGAAATTTTTGAATAATAACAACAATTGCTTCTCTCCCTTTTTCAAAGAAATAACAAATGTTTATTCTTTTAAAAAATGCCAATGAGACTTTTTTTTTATTCATTATGAAATCAGGTTGTATCACATTCACATGCTTCCCAACATATTAAATCAAACACATTCATCATAGAATAACCACTAGTTGCATGAATTGCATTGTAAATGTATTTTTGAATAAATGAATAGATCCTGATTAAAAAATACTAAATTTTAATAAAATATTTTTCTTTTCTAAAATACAGAAGTGATATTGCATGAATTGCATTGTAATTATATGTTGCATTGTAAATGTTGCATTGATTCTCAAAAATTGCATTGTAAATGCATTTTTGAATCCTGGTTAAAAATAAAATCTTAAATTTGTTAGAAAACATTGTCCGAAAAAAAAAAAAAGACATGAAATAGAGGTTATAATATTTTCTTTAATCTTAATCTTTTTTTTTTTCTTTTTACAAGTGTAGGTGGGCCCAACACATGATCTAACCTTTCCAACCCCATCCATTCTATTTCACAGAAACATGTTTCTCCTGCACTAAACCGCTACAGGAATGCAGGATATGTGTTCACACTGCAGTCGTGGATCCCTGACCCATGTCTGCAGCTCATCGAGCGTCGTTCCTCTGTAAGGAAGCCTCCCTCGGGGCTCACATCTCAATATCTCCTCCCTCGCCCAATGAGAACATGTTTGCTCGCTGTGAATTCCTCCGCCGGCGCAGCGCCACGGGAGTCAACGACTCGCCCGCCGCAACACTGACAACCGACATCGGCGACTAATTAAACACACTCGGCGGGGAGAGACAGAACCGCAGCGCACCGCTGCCGAGAGACACAGCGAGAGTGAATCACCGCACCTGCCGAGACAAAAACTACCGCCGTATGTCAACAACATTTACTTTCCCGAGACGCGTAAAACAATGGTGACAAATAGCGGATTAATCGACTAACAAAGAACAGCAAAGACAAAGAAGAGGTCTCTAATGTCATTATTACAGCACATGCTGATTATTGCAACTAATGCAATATGAGGCTCGTTAATAAAATGTGATCATTTCAAATTAGATTCTGGCTTTTGAATATAGACTGTTTGATTAAACGTGCAGTCGAGAATGTGCAATGAGGATCAAAGGTTTGGACTCAAACTTAATTGAGATACAATTGGTATTAATTGCACTTCGATTAAAACTAGGATGCATAGTGTGATGCTTAACTATTCATTTATTCAGAAATATATTCAAAATTCAATGAGTTGACTTACTGAAATAAATGAACTTTTCCACGACATTCTAATTTATTGAGATGCACCTGTACAAGTACTTCAAGCATATTCTGTTTTATGATGTATTTTGATATTTTTTTGAAGGCATAGAGACACAAATGCACAACTGCCCCGATGAAGAAAAAAGCCTCATTAATTAAGTCATTAATAAATTAAAGTATTTTAAATGATATGTATTATTTAAATTATGTAGAAGTATTTTAGGCTACACTTTACAATAAGGTTCCATTTGTTATCATTAGTTAACATAAACTAACAATACAAATAGTTCTAAAGCATCTTAGTTAATGTTTATTAATACATTATTCAAATCAAATGTTGTATCTAATAATGTTATTTAATGGACCTGAGCTTACATGAACTAACAGTGAACAGCTGTAATTTTATGAACTAATGTTAAATACAGAGTTCTGGCATGAAACTCTAGATGGCGCAGTCCGATAGGTCTAACTCAATCTGACCTAATGACATCATTATCACATGGCCCAGCTGATTGGTTCTCTCCTGTATCAGTAGCCAATGAGCTCGCTGCTCAACATTCAAATATATGACTAGTGCTTGCCGTAGCAGTTGCAGCTTGCTTCAGAAACCCTCCACCTTCCCCAGCTCCACCTGTATAGATCTGCTACGAGGTGATTCATGTATGCTATATGGGGGTTATTTCATGTATGTTATATTTGCAGCAGCAAGTTTCGGTACTTGCTCTGCCGCAGCAGCAGCAGCAGCGTAGCAGATCTATTCCGCCAAGACCAAATACATTAACATTGTCATGTGCATTACCATTCCAATCCCTCCGAGAGTTGTCATGACAGAACTAAGATTAATACATACTGTAACAAATGTATTATTTATTGTCAGTTAATGCATAAAATATAGCAAACCAATGGAACCTTTTTGTAAAGTGTTACTGTATTTTAAATATCCAAATAGCAAAAACTAAAACTTAAAATTAAAATAAAAACCTAACATAGAAAAATGTCAAGGGAAAATGTATTAAATTCTATAATAACACACACACACATATATATATATATATATAGATAGATAGATAGATAGATAGTATAATAGTATAATGTATATAAGGTTTGTGTGCTTTTGTGTGTATTCAATATGCATTTATTATGCATATATATATATATATATATATATATACACACACACACACACAACATTCACGATATAATACTAATTAATTGTTCACTGAACAGTTGCTCCATTTTTTTGCGTGCAACAGTTTAGTGCAAAAACTTGCAGATTCTTTACTAATCGCCATACAGCTAGTTTATCTTGGTGCTAAATGTGCTCTACACCGTATTTAAAATGTCACTGTCATTCTTTTCAGCACTAAAGTGCAAATTAGGTTCATTATAGATGTGCTTTATTCGTACAATTCAGTCCATTTTCCTGACACAATTAACACCGTGCAACTGCCATCCTACAATAGCAGAATTAAATGAAATTTTGATGGGAAATTCTGTACAAACCGTAGACGTTTTTCTTGAACCATTTCATTAGGACACTTTGTGGTTGACGAACGTTGGATTGTTTTTATAGTTAATGTGATGCATAACATCTGTGGTTACTCTCTGATGCCTCTTAAATTTATATTTTGTTACATAATGTGACGACATTTAAGTCTCAAATCACAATTTGGTGCCACTTTATTCCAAACCGACTGCAAAATATTCAAAAAAACACTTTTTGAAAATGACAGCATTTCAAGGCTTGTTGTAAGAGCTGGCAGGAGCCGTATAGCAGGTGTCTGAGGGCCTTGGTGGAACATGTGGTTTATTGTTCTTATTTTGCCGAGCTGCTTTCTGCTTCAAGGACAGCAAATCATTAGAACTTCTCTTTGTGATCAACATGAAAGAGAATTTGGAAAGTGAACGAAAGGTACGGGGCCGCCGTTTGATGCATAAACAAATTGAAGATGTACGAGAAAGTGGAATTCTGCCTTGAACAGTATCTTGTGCAATCGTGAATCGCTTTCCTGCAGCGGGTTTGTGAGGTCCAGACTTTCAAGGAAGAATCAGAAGAGCCTTTGGGCACGACGCTCCAGCGGGCTGACGTTCTGGCGAGCCGGATCAGTGAACATCATGCGCAAAACAAGCTCGGTTCACGCGCCTCGGGGAGATGTCGGAGTCTTATGATGACCTTCTGAAGACGGGCACGTTGTGTAACCTTAAAACAAGAACACTCCAAAACAATCCACTGCCTCTTTCTCCCCCTCAAATCCATGTTCACGGGTCTCTGGCGAATACGCTCGCCGACTAAACTCTCACACACACACCTGTCTCTTATCT